AGGAAGAGCTGAGCAAGCTCACTGAAAAACTAAAGTGGAAGTCAGTGTTCCTTCAGCTAAAGAGAGAAGGAAGCTCTTTACAGTGTCAGTGGGTCTGGAATCAAGTCAACTCAGCTGCTAAAATCTGTGCTGCTCTGCAACCAGAAATTGCAACAAAATCTGCAGCCTGTTATGCAGAGTGACTCTGGGATATGGAAACAGCGCAGAGCCAACAGAAGGAACACAACAGTGTTCTGCAAGCCCTCCAGGATCAGATCCAGATATCAAAGATCTAGGAGTGGGCTCTGCTAAAGCAGTGGTTCCCAACCTTTCTGATACCAGGGACCAGCAAACACATTCACAAACTTCTGGTGGACTGGTAACACAGTATTTGCATATTTGCAATATTAATTGTGCAAATAATAAATATACAAATTAAATGTTACCAGTCCACCAAATGTCCCGGCCTCCAGAGTCCCCCAGTGCCAGCCCTAACCCTCAGAGCTTCGCATACCTCCACTACCTCCCAGCGCCAGCCACTGACCCCAGAGTTTCTTGCACCCAATCCCCGCAGTGCCAGTCTCCTGCCCTCAGAGCCTCCCTGCCCCTGGAGTCCCCAGTGCCTGTCCCGACCCCCTCACCTAGCCCTCCACTGCTTTCCAGCCACCAGCTGAGCGCTGCTGCCCTGATCACAGCTGCTCTAAGGCTGCCATGCCGGGCTCCGCGCAGCCCTCCTGCCTCGCAGCAAAGTGCTCTTCTGTGTGCGGGAAGAGACCTCAGCGCACCCCTGCCCTGCCAGGCTGGGCAACAGCCCAGACTTCGACACATGCATGGGATTGGCAGTGTCTGCGGCACAAGCGACAGGGGCGGGCGCACGTTTCTAGTGACTCAAGAGTTCCTTCCCACTCAACCTGTGGGCGTTTCGGGCTCCTGGCACCCACCTGACAGCTGGGCAGTACTAGCCCCCCGATGCCTGCGGGTTTGAATCAGGGAGTCCGCCCCCCTACACACAACTCTGACCGATGTTGCCAGCTGCGGCGCCTCAGGACATTGGGAAGTGGCCAGACGTGGTGCAGGCTGGAGTTGGCAGGGAAGGCCCCACGGGGGAAGGTGGGCCCTGCCGGAGGAGGGGTGGAAGTCGCGGGCAACCAGCACAGCTCCCCAGAGCCTCTAACCTGATCCTCAGTTATACCAATAAAGTCTGGAGACTCGTGGCCATGAAAGCTCCGCTCCCTGGTCCCGAACACACCACCCACAATAGAAAGGACACGAGGCAGCTGCCCACCAGTCTCGCTAGCTGGGCCACGTGGCTGCTGCTGCTCTCTCTGCCTGGCTCCAGCCACAGCACACAGGGCAGTCCACAGCGCCACTCACCATGGGCGAGTGGGAGGAGAATTTTTTGTGCACACACAGGCATGCACCTTAGAGGGAATGGAGCTCCCCAGTGGGCGGGGCTCATTAGCAGCTGGTGGCGTGACTTGGCCAGAGTGCCACAGCCTGAGAGGTAAGGGTTTGCAGCCTGCCGCTGGTCCACGGACCAGTGGGTGGGAACACTGTGCTAAAGGAACAGAGCATACTACCCAACCTGGAGCAGCAGAGTAAGAAGGAGACAATTATGGAAAAAAGGGATGATCTCAGTGTCAAGCTGCAGAAATTTTTCTGAGTCAAAAGCCACTTCTTGGAGCAAGTGAAAGAAAAGGACAAAAAATGGAGGCTAAGAAGAGGGCAGAGCTGCGTGAAAAAGGCACAAACACTGATATTGAGATGGAAAACTTGGCAACGTTTACCCCATGGAACTCCCCCATGGTAGTGGGGCAATGTTTAAGAAGATGGTCCTGGAAGATGGTGCAAGAAGACTGATTCATCACCCAGTGAAAGATTAATATTGATAGCCACACAGAGGCTGTGCCATCTATAAATGCTACGGTAATGGTGGCAGCCTCTAGAATTACCAAACAAACCCAATCCTTAAGGGTGCATCTACACAGCAGAGCTTAACTGAAATAAGCTACACAAATTGAGCTATGTCAATTGAGTAGCTTAGTTTGAAATTGGGAGTATCTACACTGCACTTATTTTGAAATAGCGCATTCTTCCGCATACTTCCCTTATTCCTCATACAATGAGGGTCACAGGAGCAGGAGTAAGAAGTCCTCCAGCTTGACAATATTTTGACATTATTTTGAAATAACTGCCTGATGGGTAGACCAAATTATTTCAAAATAATGTTGCTGTGTAGACATACCATAAAGGTACGCCTACACAGCACAGTTATTTCGGGATGCCAGAGAGATCCCAAAATAGCTACCCTGCGTCTTTGGAATGTGTCCGCTATTTTGAAATATAGCGGATGCGCTATTTCGCCATTCCTGTAAACCTCATTTTACAAGGAGTAAGGAGGGATGGCTCGAAATAGCACTGTATTTTGAAATTTGGCGCTGTGTAGACAGCACCAAATGACGAAAAACTCTTCCAAAATAGACTCAAATAAGCTACGCAATCTTATTTCAAGTTTCCAGTGCTCTATAGATGCACCCTAAGGGAGTAAAAAGTACATAAAACCCCCAACTTGCAACTGCCCGAGTTACGACCCCCCACACTTACAACCATTTCTGTAAGTGCGGAAGGGGCCAAAACCCCGACTTATGTCCTCGACCCGCATTTACGACAGCACATGGTGCCTATCATAAATGAGGGTTCTAGTTATCATGCCCCCAACTAGCGACTCTTCCCCAGGAACCCATCGTGTTGCAAGTCAGGAGCTGTCTGTATTAGATGAGGTTGCTGTGGCCCACAAATGCAAGGCAGAAATTGTGGCACAAGTCTGTATTACAGGGCCTCAGAGTGCAGTATTTTTTGAAGGAAATAGAGGAAATATGCTCCTTAAGGAACCGGATCCTGGCTCAAGCTATAAAAAGAATAAGCCCACTTTAGGCTAAATAAGAAGAAATAACAACACTTACTGGTATAGAAGGATCTGAGTGAGCTCTCTGAGAAAATCCTTGTGCCATCCCTCGTTATGAAGATCCAGACTACTAGAGAACTGAACTACTAGAGGAGAAAGTAGTCTTTAAGAGTTAATTGAGAATGTCAGGCACAGAACAGCCAAGAGGAGGCAGTATCTCAAACTCCTGAAAGGGAAAGCTGGAGGTACTCCTGTGACAGAAATTGTTTCATCAGTAGAGGAGCAGGGAGAGAAGTCATCTCTCATACTTAAAAACAATATCATAGATTAGGGCCAGGGTGGAGGTGGCTTCAGGAGGTCATCTAGTCCAACTCCCTGCTCAAAGTAGGACCAACCTCAAGTCTGTAAACGTATATACTGAACTTGTAATGGCCAAAGCCCTGCTCTGTTTGGATCAGAAAAACATGCATGAAAAGTGCTTTTAAACCAATATAATGTTCTTGAAAAGACAAAAGTTGTAGCAATTTGTACCGAAACCCACACACTTGTCTCTCTCCGTATTTATGAATCTGCGATCTCTGCTTTGAGATCATTAACGCTACGCCCATGTACATTACTAAGCCTCTGGAACGACATGCCTCCTTGCTGGAAAGATTTGCAAGGCCCCTCTAATTTCTTATCAAAGATCATAACTAAAGTATTTAAAACAACAAAAAGTCAAGCGGCTCGATGGCTGCCAAGCCGCTCAGATGACTAATTAACCTGGCTAATCAATAGGAGGCCTCTATGCTAATGTCGTTTTAACCTTGGCGATCTTCCTTTTGGCGGACGTCAAACGACACAGAATAGACAAACAAGAAAACCAGCAGCGGCAGCAAGGGAGGGACGAAGGGGGGAAGGCAAATTAAAAGCAGATCACACGGGTTCCTTTAAAGACACAGCGGGGCCTTTAGAGAAGGGTCTTAGTCGCATTAATGCCGCGGCTGCTGCCTCCTTTAGCGCGGCCACGGGGGAGCCCGGAGCGGTTTGCGGGAACCGGAGTCGATGCACTTCGGAAGAAAACCAGCAGCGGCAGCAAGGGAGGGACGAAGGGGGGAAGGCAAATTAAAAGCAGATCACACGGGTTCCTTTAAAGACACAGCGGGGCCTTTAGAGAAGGGTCTTAGTCGCATTAATGCCGCGGCTGCTGCCTCCTTTAGCGCGGCCACGGGGGAGCCCGGAGCGGTTTGCGGGAACCGGAGTCGATGCACTTCGGGTCCCTCCCTGGCCCCCTTCCTCGCCCGCCGCCCGAGTGCGTGTGACTCTCGCTCAGCCACAGGCGCGCAGGCCCCGCCCCGCTTCCTAGCACGCCCCGCCCTCTGCCCCTCCGCCCACGCGCTGATTGGCCGGCCGGCGCCGCTCCCCCTGGCTGTGGCAGGCAGAGTCCGGCGCTGCCTAGCAGTG